TGTGTGTGTGTGTGTGTGTGTGTATATATATATATATATATATATATGTATGTATGTATATATGTATATGTATATATATTTATATATATATGTATATGTATAATGTTGTAGGAGATGGTTTCCATGTCAGCTGTAGTTATATCTCTTACCTTCTCATAATTACTAATTTTATTGCTCTTGTTTCAGTTTGAGATGGGTGACATTTTAATAGGCAGCGAGTCAACAGGTAAAACATATTTTTTTTATCATCTTCTATGTTATTTATCTTATCATTTAAATTTGGATTCAAAATGGAAAATTCATCTAAATTCTAATCTAATTTTTACATGTGTTTGTGTTTTCAGGTTATTGTGCTGACGGATGCGCTGCTATTGTAGATTCTGGGACTTCCTTGTTGGCTGGTCCTACTGTATGTGGCTTTTCGTTCTTTTCTAAATGTCTTTAGTTGCTTTTTTAGTCAATGAGCTTGTATTTTAGCTCTTTTCCTACAACTTTGACAAGCCATTTTATTAAAGCAACTTAATTTACTAGAACAGTTTTTGCTATATCGGTTACAATTAGTTGTGCATTCCTAGTTTTTTCTAGAATGAACTATTTCAAAAAAAAAATTATTTGCATGAAAATGTTTCTAAACTATGTAATTTTTGTTCAAATTTCACATATATATGCCAAACTTATTTTTTCCTTTACTTAGTGATGCTCAAAATTGCTGCAAAGTAATCAAATAATCACACAAGTATACATATCGATCGAGTAATATACGGAATTAGAGTCTAAATATCGATTCCACGAGAAAACTAGTCAATTTTTTTAACAGATAAAGTTCTAGCTTTTTACACTGCTAAGTCTAGTTTGAACGGTTCAGATTTGTAGGAGTCGAAAGATTCTAAAATCCTATTGTAGGAATAAATAACCAGAATTAAGTTTCATTTATGTTTTTTATTGGTGAAATATTCATACTACTGTGAGATCGTTCTAGCGAATCCTTGATGTTTTTTTTATGAACTCTCTAAGTTGTTGACAACCAGAGATAAGTTCTCCTTAGCATATATGTAGGTCATAAGAAACATCGTAAACTCATATTACACTTTATGAGGCTTAACCATGCAAGTTTTCCAAGGAATACCCTAGTCCTCTTTCTAAGTTGCATTCTTCTATTGACAAGATGTCTATTTCATTAGATGAATGTGTTAAGATACATGTTCTTCTAATCAATGATTAGAATTTATAGATCACGGGGTGTATTAATTTTCTAATTTGTCAAGTAAATTACGATCAAAAGGTTAACACATTATTTTAGTTTAATAAATGTTTTGTTTGGTAAATTGTGATGTATGCTATATCACATTGGAACTGTATATCTTGGTTGCATTCTCCTATTGAGAAGATATTTATTCCACTAGATGAATGTCTGTTTACATGCTTATTCTTCTAATCAACAATTAGTTCTAGATTACAAGGTGTTTTAACATTCTACTTTTCCTAGTAAATTACAATCAAAAGGTTAATACATTAACATGATATTCAAAGTAAAAAAAAAATTTATGGAAAACTTATAGATCAAAACATCGACTCAATAAATTTTACATCACAGGAGTATAAAAAAGATTCAGCTATCATGTATGAGGAGCGAAAACACAAACGATTTCATTAAAAATATTAAGGAAAACATCGTACGAAGGTACACAAAACTCCCACCCGAGTCTATGGCCCATTGCAATACTCCGAAATCCTTTTCGTATAACACAAACTCTCTGTTTCTTTCCTTGTACAAGTGCACACATATCTCTTCCTCACAAGCTCTCCAAACTCTCAAAGAACAACCCTAAAAATTCTCTCCGAAGGGAAGGATTGGAGAAAACGTTTTGGTTTACAAAGAACTCCTTAAACCTAAGAGAAGAGAAGCCTCCCATAGCCAATAAGATGCCCTAATTCGTCTCTCGAGTGGCCTTAAATAGCTTGAGCTCTAATCACCTCCAATTTCTCGCTAGTTTAGTCTTTAGGTAAAGCCCGACATAACTATGCTTAACTTGACATAACTATGCCACTGGGTGACGTAATGGCGCTGAAGCGCGGCATAATTATTTCACTTCATCTTTTTCTTCGCTCGTTCCGACGCTCCTTCAGACAAAGAGCACAAAATAGTTATGTTGTTTAGGCAGCGTAGGTATGCCAATCTTTGTTTTTGTCAAATTTCATATTTTGGCTTCATAACACATGTTTAACACTCGAAACCTTTAAAACATAACAAACAACATCCACAAGCGTAAAATCATTATAATAGGGAATTAAAGCATGAGTTTTACAAATGAAAACATCATAAATTCGATTAACATTAATATCTCCAAACTTACTTATTACTTGCTCTCATGTAATCTCAAATCTAAGCTTGGACTTATTTAAATAATTTTCTTAGCTCTCATGTGGGACTTTCTAATTCTTTAATAAGATTATATAATTTGTAATAAAAGATGTGCAAATGTTATTTCAGGGTTATATTTTCATTAATCTCCATTAACCTAGCATTTCCTTAACACTTCTAAGCCTAATCTGATCTCAGAGTAATTAATCCAGTGTGATTAAAACATTTTTATTAACTAGAAATATTTTTAAGTCGATTATCACTCAAGCAACCCAAAATTACTCGACTTTTTCTTGAATATATTCTTTAAGAATCCCATGAAGAAAGTTTTTCAGTTTTATTAATTAGAAAATGACTTAGATACTAATTTTTTATGTTCATGCTTAACCTCAAACTTCTAAAAAAGACTGACCACTTCACAAATTTTTTTCTTTTCTTCTGGATCAAGGTCTAGCACAATTTTTACTTTCTTTTTTTTTCCTGTAAAAAATATTTAATTCCAATAAAAATTAATATATCTGGTCAAGCGTATTTTTAATTATTCAGATCTAACATCTACGGATTTCCCATTTTGTATACAGTAGTTGAAGAGAACCATATCCGTCTTGATATCAGTAAGGCTCATGGTAGGCATGAGTTGTGCCGCAATGAAATAGTGCATATTTTGGACTTTTTGTTCATTGTGGTACAGAGGAAATTCACAATCCTCTCTCCGTGCTCATCAAGCTTGATTTTCCATTGGTCAGTAGAGTTGGTGAAGAAGTCGACGATTTCTTGGCAGTCAGGAGCAAGAAAATTAGTAATCATCATTAGGAATGTCTTGAAAGCTGAAAAGAATATTGATGGTGGCAGAGTCCTAGGCTACGTGTTTCCCCTGTGCGAAGACTTTCTCATATAAGGGCTCCTTTGCATTAGCAAAGAATTTGCAAACAATTGGGATGACTGTGGGTGCGACAGTGTAGCAACATATATGCTAACCACTCTTTGTAATCTTTCCCTCGGCTCGTCCCCCAAGCTTAAGGATAAAGTCCTTAACTAGGAAGGATGCATTTTTCCTATAATGAAAATCAATTACTTACCTCAAGACGGCAAATGTGATGCTTATACGAATTCAACACCATTCATAGGGGTGTAAACGAACCGAACACGAACGAACAAAGCTTGTGTTTGTGTTCAGTTCGTTTGAAATTTAGTTTGTTTGAAATAAGCTCGTGTTCGAAATTGTTCGTGAAGTTTCTGTTTATGTTCGTTTCTTAACGAACGAGCCGAACACGAGTTGAACACGAGCTGTTCACGAATGACGAGCCAGTTATTAATTATATAACTTATATTATATAAATATATAATATCTATATTAGTATATTACTAATATAGTATATTAATATATTATTATTATTAATTTATTATATATTATAATTTATAAAATTTAATTTTTTAAAATATTATAAATTTTTTATATATAATTATTTTAAATTATTTTATATTTCAAACAATAACGATTTGAACACGAACGAACGCATCACTGTTCGTGTTTGGTTCGTTTAACTAACTGAACGAAAAAAAATTGTTCACATTCGTCTCGTTTACTTATCGAACGAATCGAACACGAACTCATTGACGACCCGAACACGAACTGTTCGCGAACAACTAGCTTTTTTGACAGCCCTAATTATGAATAGTACACCAATTGGAAAGTAAAATATAAATTATTTTGTAATTAAACTTATTTATTCATTAAATTACGAGCTACCTAATCAACAGTTATTATTACTATTATACTTGTTATTAATTTTTTATTATTACTATAATATTTTAAATGAATGGAATTATGAACACTAACTTACTAACATACTTAAAAGAACATATTCTTTTATTTTAGTTTGTTAAGGAGGAGAAAATTTAATTTCAGAATAAGTTTTATTAGAAAACATCGTGTAAAAATAATAAAAACATATGCTAATCCTAACCTTCTTAAATCTCCTTTCTCGTTTGTTTCCTTGAATCCCGATTTAGAAAACCCCTTTGGGAGAAGGATTTACGGGATATAGAAGAGCGGATGCGGGCGATTACCTTCCTCGATGGTTTCAAGTAGAAGCGGATGGAACATGAGGGATAAGGTACGTCGCGATCCCGTTGTTGCCTTCATTGCTAGCTGCAAGTGCGATTGTACCACACGGGTGTAGGGCACGGGAAACTGAAGGAGGGGAAGGGAGATCGGGAGGAGGCCCTAGGCATTGCTCTTATAGAGTGCTGAGGCGGTTCAATCAAACAGATCAAGAAGGCGACAAGTGATCGCGAGAAGGAGAAAATGAAAGAATTGAGTTTTAGAAAGTTGGTGAGGCAACAACAAGCTAGAAAAGAAATCAACTGCATGAAGGAAAAGGTAAGAAATAATTCTTTTGGTTCTTACAAAATCCTTCAAATTATGAGCCGTTTTGACAGCCCTACTGGGGATCATTGCTTCGTACTCTGCTTGGTTATTTTTAACCTTAAACTCTACCTAAATTGATTAGTAGGCATACTTTTCTGATGGGCTACTCAGTGCCAGTCTCAGGCTGGCAGTCGCTTGCTTGGACTCTCCATCGAGTACAGTATCCAGGTCTTGTCGCTGGTACAACTTTCTTTATCAGGCTTCTTTTCCTTTGATCGCCTGCGCTTTAATAGCTGTCCGGGGGACATACTTGGTGTCATATTCACTGAGTCCACCGCCCATTTTAACAATCAATCGGAATGCACTGGCTGAGTGAGTACAGACTTCATGGGGTGATCGGTGACAACTCGAATCGAATGCGTCTGAAAATAGGGTCGGAGCCTACGAGAGGAAATAATTAATGCAAATGTTAGTTTTTTCATAATGAGGTATCTGGTTTTGGTGCCTTGGAGAACCCGGTTGGTGTAATACACCAGAAATTGCTTCCTCGCATCTGTTCTGACCTATACCGAGCTGACTGCCTCTCATCTGACTCCGAGGTTTAGTGACAATTCTTCCCATTGGTTTCGGGCTTTGGAGTTGTGGTGGTGATGCCAGGAGGTCTCTCAAACCTTTG